TTGCATAAAAAAATTATTGAATTTAAATTTGATAAATGTTTTGAAAATGAAGGGAAATTAAAAAAATAAAGCTGGATTTTTGTTTGCGCATGATTGGATGATTGAACCAATCACAGCTATACTCTATTTACTAACCTAAATGAATGTTCACTTTGCATAGAGAACTTATACTTTGTAAAGTAAAAATTCACTTTGCTATTTGAAGTTTCCTTTCCTTTAGTAAATAAAACCCTCTGTTTTGTATTTTTGTCTATAGCTTGCAGTTTTTTTGTATGATTTATTGATTGATGCACAATGCTGCATAATCATTTGCTGCTTAAAAAATGAGATAATTACAATGATAAGTATTTATTTATTATTTATTTATTTATCGAGTTTATATAGCGCCAAAGGGTTTGCTCAGCGCTGTACAATAGAGGGGGGACAATACATGAAACAGTACAGTAACATCAAACAGCACACAAGGGGTAAGAGGGCCCTACTCTTTCGAGCTTACAATCTAGGAGGGAGGGGGTAGAGGTACAGGAGGAAATGGCTGTGGGGGATGGAGTGGTAGGAGGAGGGAAGGGCAGCGGCTGTTAGGTGAGGGTGGGGTAGGCTTCCCTGAAGAGGTGGGTTTTCAGGGAGCGCCTGAAGGTGAGGAGGGAAGGTGACAGTCTGATGGATTGGGGTAGTGAGTTCCAGAGGATGGGGGAGGACCTGGAGTATAAGTATAACATATATACAAGCTTCAATGACCCATGTTTACGTTAGTTATCGTAACTGTTATTATTTGTTTTGCGATTGCAATTTTATTTCCCAATATTTATTTATTTTGTGAAATTAACAGTAAATTATTTGATACAATTTACTAGAGGTAACTGACATCACTAAGTTCAATAAGTTGCAATGTAATAGTATCTCGTAATCATATTTCATTTATTTTCAAAAAGCCCCACAAATGTTATATTGTAAGCCTTTCCCGTAGTTAGTATATTTTATAGTGCATGCAGCATGACTTACATGTGTCAGTGTTTACCATGGCTATAATGACTATAATTGTGTTTCTTTCTATTTGCTTTAAACATAACAACATGGTTCATAGGACAGTGCACACCCTTCATAGACAGTGTGTGATGGGTTAATTCTAAGATGAAGAAATACTTTTTACTTACCTCAAGTCAAGGTTGTACTGAGTGTATTGCTGAATGAATTGCGCAATAGGCCTCATGCACAATGGACATTTTTATAGCTGCTCCTAGGGGTGTCTGGCATTTTTTTCTTGCCTCTAAACTCCCCTCCATGTTAGCCTGTGTCCATGCACACATAAACTTTTAGAGGCTTTTAGTAGCAGGAGAGTTTATAGGCAGGAGCAAACCGCACTGACAATGTGTCCAGGAGCAGCAGAGTTTTGGCAGCAAAAATGCTTGACGCTCTTAAAAGCATGTAAACGTGTCTACACTAGGTGCATTTAGCGCTTGAGCATTCATCCATTTCAAATAATTTATTCTTGCCAATGAAATGAACACCTAATCGCTTGACGTGGCCAAATCGCACCGAAGCACATTGCACACTGTGACGTGGTCTGGTCTCTGGTCCCTATCACCACATTGCAAATCCCACAAACTGTATTGGTATGCCTTCTTGGGCTGGTGGAGGAGTTGGCACCTCTGACCGCACAGCGAACCCTCCTTTAAGTGACCCTGTTCTACGCTCGTAAGGCTATGTTGCTCCATTGGAAAAAACCTGTTGCTCCCACTATCTCTTATTGGAAAGCCCTGATTAACAAGATGTTACCATTATATAAGGCGACCTACTTGAGCAGAGGTTCCTCCAAAAAATTCAATAAGGTCTGGCATTGTTGGGTTTCTGCTTCCTCTTCGCTAGCATGAACCTTTAGGTAGGTTTGCAGATGTTTTCTGCTGCTATGTTTGGTCCTTGGTATCTGTTGGAAAATAGATCTTATACATAGATTGTCTAATATTACCTTGCTTATGGTTCTTTGGGAATGCTACATGTGAAGTCTCTATTTTGTATGGTTGGGGCACCTGCACTTTGACTCTCTTTTAATTAAGTAATTGCTCTGTTGTTGGGAAGGGGATAACGTTGTAATTTTGTTGTTTTATTTTGTTCTAACTGGCTGTGCCGGTTAATTGTATCTTTATGTGTATTATACTTGTTAAATTAAAAGTAATAAAAAGAACAAAAAAAAACACGTTGCACAGTTACAATTGTCAGGCATTATTTTTGCCAAAACATTGCTGCAGGAGGAAAGGCTTCTAAGAGAGTTAAAAAAAAAGTCCAGCGTGCATGAGACCTTAAAAGCTTAAACAACACATTAAAGTAAGTAAAAGACATGCATTTTATATATTAAAACAAATTTTTTTTCTAAGATGTTTAAGGATTAAACTAAGATACAGATGGAAATTCGCCTTCTATAATTTTTACTGTAATGTACTGGTTTGTTTGCTGGGCATCATAAATGTCGCTATAAAACAAAGTGCAGTACCTTAATGCAGCAGAAATAGACTATGACATAGAACACAATGTGAAATAACATAAAACACTGAGGTTAATTAAAGTGAAATGATCCACTAAACGTGTGAATGAATAAAAATAAATGTAAAAATCCAAAGTGTCCATGTATGAGTTCTACCATCCAAATAACTCAACGCCATCTGTGACTGAGAGTAATACCGCACTCACCAGCTCCAAAGCTGCTAATGCAGCAAGCAGTATGTTTGAATCAACCGATCAGAGCCTTTCCTATATGGTCATCCAGCTCCATCCATCCACTTGGGATCTCCTGTAAACAGCAGCTCACACCACTGGAAAGTGTTAGGTCACCCACACCTCCACTGTCTAGGAGGAAAATGCTCATTGCAAGAAGCCAAGATCATTGGGCTGTATATAGTGTAGTCATTTTTTAAAGCTACTTAAAATTACAAAGGACTCATAAAAATTGCATCCAGATGCCAAACAATAAAAGCAGGTAACAGTGCACTTACTAAGATGGACACCAGTTCCGAGATCGGAAGTGATGGCGGGACATCATCATGTAGCTCCTTACCAATTTTGCTATACTGAATTTTATTATGGCAATATGTTGTGAGCCTTTTTCCTGAAAGAGCTTTATAAAGGTAAATGTTTAGAAATGGGATACTCATCAATGCTGCAAGTACTGCCACACCAATAGCCTCTATGAGTTTTATGGGGCCAGAGTATGAGAAAGCCCAACATGACACTGCTCCCACAAGAATCCTTTTTGTGCTGCCAGGTAATAATGATTGCACATAACACAGTGGTATCTGGCAATATTAGTAGAGTATTTTCAACCCTTGGGGGTGTGGGCAACATATTGATCACAGCAAAGCAAACCACCTCCTAGGCCCTAGTTGTCAACTAGGAAAATGGGGTCACTCATTACAGAACTGGGGAGCAATTTGTTCCAGTTATGATACCTCCACTCAGTACCAACCAATTAATTAAAATATATCCAGGGTGTGAATAATTAGGTCAGCTACAACTATTATGTCTGGGACACAATGCTTAGCATAAAACACAGTATAGCAAATGGAAATATTCAGCCATTTCCAATATTTCTAATTTACAGAAAAATTGTAACTGTACAACCTATAGTTCACAGGATAGAAGCACATGTGTATAATCTGTGATTTTAAGTAAGGAAAGACCTTTTGCCAGTCTACTTCCTAATTTTCAACCGCTGCTTTAACACTATTACGTAGAGTCCCCCTAAGTGAAAAATTTAGCTAAAGAAAAAATGACATTTGGAGTTAAATTGGATATGCCCTCAGTCAAGCCTTACAGAAGAAGATGGCCAGGACTGTCCAAACAATTGGACAGAAGGGGTACATTGTGTTGGGGAACCCCCCAGTATTTAGAATGAATCTCAACATGTCAACTGGAAGTTGCCAGACACCAGGGCCGGATCTAGCCAGTGTGATGTGGGGGTGCAGTAAAAAATGTCTGGCGGACAGAGGATATGAAGTCAGCAGAGCAGTATACAAAAACTGGAATCAATAGTGGACTGTACTGGGGATTAGCAGATCAGAGGATAGGGGTTAGCAGAGCAGAGAGGGGTTAGCAGTTTGTAGAGCAGTATACCGATCAACTTCTGTACAACCAACCTCTAGGAAAATTTCCACGTGATCAGCACTGCTAGTTATAGCTGCCAGCACTTATCAGTGTATTCTGGCAGTAGAGAAGTCTCTCTGGTGTCAGAACACAATACTTCAGCGGGAGTGATTCCCCCACCCACGTTGAATGTGTGGATGTGGAAATCTAGTTGTTTTTCTAGTTGTTGAACAAAAAAAAAAAAAGACTAATGTATGGACTGCATTACTGAGCCTACCATAAAGAAGAATTTCATTAAAACCAGCAACTATTGAGACAATGAACACCTTGGTCAGGTCTATTTACTGTATATCAATGCATAATGTACACAGTACAGTGGTCAGGTGTATGTAATAAACAAAACGACATATGGAGTGCAGCAGTTGGGATGAGTGCCATGTTCACATCAGTGTCCCAAGAATGCCACCACCTTACGTCAGAGTCTGACAGAGTGCCCCTTTTAACCACTTGCCTACTGGGCACTTATACCCGCTTCCTACCTAGGCCAATTTCAGCTTTCAGCATTGACAATTTGAATGACAATTGAGCGTTCGTGCAACACTGTACCCATATGAAATGTTTATCATTTTTTTTCACACAAATAGAGCATTCTTTTGGTGCTATTTACTTGCCGCTGGGTGTTTTATTTTTTGTGCTATAAACAAAAAAAAGAGCAAAAAAAAAAGTTTTTCTTTCTTTGTATTATAAAAATTTGCAAACAGGTAATTTTAATTTTTTAATCACTGATAGGCGGCACTGCTGGGCACTAATAGGCAGCACTGATGAGGTGGCATAGATAGGCAGCACTGATGGGCACTGATAGGCAGCACTGATGAGCTGGCACTGGTGAAGCAACACTGATGATGCTGCACTAATATGCAACAATGATGGGCACTGATAGGTGGCACTGATGGGCACTGATAGGCGGCACTGACTGACGGCACTGCTGGGCATGGACTGGCAGCACTGCTGGGCACTGATGGGTGGCACTGCTGGGCGGCACTGATGGGTGACACTGCTGGGCACTGGTAGGTGGCACTGCTGGGCACATGTGGGTGGCACTACTCGGCACTGATGGGCACAGGTGAGTGGCACAGGTGGGCGGCACTGGTGGGTGGCACTGCTGGGCACTGATCATCAGTGTCATGATTATCAGTGTTGATCTGTCCTCTAAAATTGCCGATTATCGACAGTACTTTCCTCATGCTGTGACAGCGTGAGGGAAGTGCAGCCGATAACCTGCAATTACATTTACCCGGTGATCTGCAGTGTCATTGGACACAGCTGATCACATGGTAAAAGGCTGCTGTGATTGGCCTTTTAGTACATCGCGTGATCAGCTGTGTCATCACGGAGATCGCCAGGTGCACACCCCCAGGGGCTGTCTCCCAAGGTGTTTGTCTATGCAGTTGCGCTCCGTAGATGCACACAGCGGGACTTAGCCCCACCCCCCTCTTCCTTCTCACTGCAATTTGATTAACAATGGCTCCTGCTGCTGTTCGAGTCCCTGTGTGAAGAGAGAGGAGAAGAGATGCAGCCGTGCACAGCACTATTCTTCCCTCTCTTCCCCTTCACACAGGGAAGAGGGAGGATAGAGAAATAGAAAACATGTTTTACCTTAATGCAAGGAATGCATTAGGTAAAAAACTTTTTCACTTTAGTATCACTTTAAATATTTTTCAAAGTCTTTCTCTCACTGGGGAGCCTTCCCTTCACTTCCTGTTCCTGAGACACAGCAGAAAAGCAAGATGAAATCTCCCCAAAGTAAAAGGAAATCTTCCACTGGAGACACCTGTCAGCAGAACATTTATTCCCATAGGAAGATTTCTTCTATGCCTATGCTAATAGCAACAGCTGTAAAAAGTTACATTTGCCAGCACTTTCCATCTCGGTGACAAAAATCACCAAGATGAATAAAGAATGTGAATCTGATCAGCAGGAACACAGACAGCAATAATTATGAGACGTGATTCTTGTGAGCTACTATGGTGTATCTTATAAAAGATTTTCTTTTATCAAGTGAATATATAAAATAAAAAAATCAGTATATTTTAAAATAAAACTGAGTGAAATATGTGCAGAAATAAAGAATATTAAATAAACTGGTATGTAAAATATTTAAATAAATATTTAAGAAAATGAGTGGGTCACCTACACTATACACGTACTTATACAGGTGTGTCACTATAAATCAAAATACAAGCGTGTCGCGCTCCACTAATAAAATAAAAATGAAAGTGTGATATATAAACATGCACAATTGGATATATATATATATAAAAAAAATTAATTAAATAAATAATAAAATAAAGTAACGTGTGTGAGTGAGTCCAACATTAGTCCAGCAGCATGATATTGCAATCCTACTAATACTGCGTGCTTGTCTTTAAATAATCCGTGACTAAGGTGTGTCTTTCACTAGTGTAAAAAATATGTATCATATAGTCCACCAATCTTTATCTTGTGTGCTCCTTCACTAGTTGTGCTCTCACCTGACGTATATGACCAAACCGTTAGGCAAGGTCAAAAACAGCTTGTGTCCCTTTAAATGGACTCAGTATGAGTAGATAAATGTATCCCTGTTTCCTGGATGGATGGATGAGTGGAGTGTTTCCCTTATCCCAGCAGGGGGTCTCGCTGCTTCCTAGAGACCTATTTCCTGGAGGTGGATGGATGGATGGAGTTTTCCCTCTTCCTACTAGGGGGTCTCTTCACTCCCTTCTGATTTTTCATTCCATATGCGTAAGTGCCATGTAATTAAAGAAGAGAATATAGTGCCTTATCTTCTTTTTAAAATATTTATTAAACAAATGTAGTGCACTCACATGAAATTATTCATTTCCCCCTGAGGAAGCCACATGACCCGGTGGCATAACGCATAGGGGAGGGGCTCTGACAATGCTTAAATGCAACTACACAGCTAGTATATTGGAGTGTGGCAAATACATTGAGGAGCCTGTATTTTGCACAAAAGCGATTTTAATAAATATTTCATGTGAGTGCACTACATTTGTTTAATAAATATTTTAAAAAGAAGATAAGGCACTATATTCTATTCTTTAATTACATGGCACTTATGCATATGGAATGAAAAATCAGAAGGGAGTGAAGAGACCCCCTAGTGGGAAGAGGGATAACTCCATCCATCCATCCGCCTCCAGGAAATAGATCTCTAGGAAGCAGCAAGACCCCCCTGCTAGGAAAAGGGAAACACTCCACTCATCCATCCATCCAGGAAACAGGGATACATTTATCTACTCATCTTCATTTAAAGGGACACAAGCTGTTTTTGACCTTACCTAACGGTTTGGTCATACACGTCAGGTGAGAGCACAACTGGTGAAGGAGCACACAAGATAAAGATTGGTGGACTATATGATACCTATTTTTTACACTAGTGAAAGGCACACCTTAGTCACGGATTATTTAAAGACGAGCACGCAGCATTAGTGGGATTGCAATATCATGCTGCTGGACTACATTATTTTATTAATTAATTTATTTAATTCAATTTATATATATGTATCCAATTGTGCATGTTTACAGACAGCGATAATACTGTTATGAGTTTTTAACTGCAAAAAAGTTTTGCCTTGTTTATTATACTTGATGGTGCATTTTAGATTGTAAAACCAACATGTAAATTTTGTTTTATTTCTATGTACAGTATATGCCCTTTTCTTTTGGTATTGAGCAAAATGGTGATCCCATCAAACATCAATCTGTCCTTTTGATCCACCGGTTTCTATGCATGTCTTTCTGTATGCAGATTTGGTTTTGAAGATAAAGCAAAGTTACATGATGAATGTAAAATCTTCCTACTTAACAATGTTTGTATGTCTAACTGCAGAAATATGCTGAGCAGGAATGCTATTGAACATTACCAGAGCTACCACACATACCAGATGTCATATGAACAATTTCATAACTTGCCTTCCTGATATAATTTAAATGGAAAGTTAGGTAAGGGCCACCCAACTTTGATTTATGTCTAATTCTGTTTAAACTAAAATATAATGGCAATGCAGTATAAATCCTTAGAACCTGACACTGTCTGTGGTGTAATCTATACAGACAAAATTTAGTTGCTCATTCATGCAGTTTAAATTGGTAGCAGTTAACCGTACGTAAAGTAGAGAATGATCTATAAACAGATGGAACAAATGTATCTCTATGGTGTAAGATTCACAAATACACATACTTGTAGTAGTGATTAATCTCACATTACTGTACAAAGCTCCAGTTGTGTGCCACTGATCCCTACACACATACTACATGATTTTTGTGTCGCTAACACCATAGTGAGTTATTTATTATATATGGTTACTTATTAGTTGCTACTTCTAATAACTATTACTAGTGATTAATTCCCAATAAATTCAGTAGCATAATTGATCTACTAAAAACCACTGGTGATATACTACAGGTCTGAAATTTCATGACATACATGGGTTATTGTGCTCAACCTTGTAAACTGTATAGCACTCTGGACTGGATGTGAAACATTCAAGCAGATACCCAGTGGTTGACATTGCTCTTTCAAGTGGGCACTAAAGAAAAAAACTACCTTATTGCTCAAACTGGACTTGTTGGGATACAGCAACCATTTTGGAAAAAGCAGTACTTGGATTAGTAATTAGTTATGTTTACATTGCGATTGTGGCATACAGTATGTGCTGTTGCCAATCTATAAAGCAATTTCCAGGTACTCTTGCTTTGCAACTCTACATTTGCAATTGTGACACATTTAATACAATCCATTGCAGATACATTTTCTTAAAGGGTGATCGCACATGACTAATGAAAGTTTAGGAAACACCAATTCAAGTAAATTTAGGACAGGAGGCCATTTTAGGTAATAATGTATTTTTTATTGTTACTGTGTATGCTACTTTCTGATAATAACACCTATTTCTGATGATAACGCAAAATTGAGAGAAAGTAAGAATATGCATTTTAACAAGCTCTGAGTTCCCCACACAGTTTGCCATATCTTAACCTAAATGGAAAGTAAGATGTCTCCACTGTGGGTTGTTAAGGACGGATGACCAAACCCTAAAGATTCAAGATCTCAGGTCAGGTGATCGTTATACACACCCACCATGAGTTGAAATACTGCACAAAAGAAGTACAGCAGTGACATTGTATATGTACAGTTCTAGTAGCCTTGTCTATATCTATCTAGTGACTTTGGCACCACGATGAGAGAACACTGTAACAGGAAATCTGTAAACACAGAGCTGAGGGTTCAGCAATGTAAAGATTTGCAGGAGTTTTTAACTCTGGATTACAGTAACAGAGAGCCAAGAACACCAGTGAAGACAAAAGCTTTGAAGCACATTAGAGAGAATGGTAAGATGAGCCAAATCCAGAAGGTCACAACTGCTAATCAAAGCCAATAAGCATAATAAGAGAGGCAGAACCAGGAAACAGGAATAAACAAACTAAGAATACACAAACATGCAGATACAAGACTGGGATAACAGAAATAGGTCAAAATAGCTATACAACAGTAAACCTGGCACCGAAAGGGAAGAAATATTTAGAATTCTTGAATACGTGACCAAAATTGGGCCTAGATTGGCCACCTTTCATTTCAAGGTTGTTACTCTCAAAGGGACCCGAAAGACCTGATGGGCTGGATGAGGGAGGATCCTTCATAGCACTGCTCATCACTTATATATTCTTCTTAAAGAAACTAAAAATGATTACCAGTATACACAGGAATTCCAGACTGATGTACAATAAAAAGACATTTGTTTCAGCTACACAGCTATTAAAAATGCTGGATGTAGTTTAAAATGCTGGTAATGGAAATGTTTAACATCTTTCTTCTATTTTCCTACAAGCCCCTGCAGAGCAAACAACAAAGCGAGAGTAGACAGTTATGCACTGTGAGCCAGTCAGTCAAGCATTGCACAGTGCTATCACGTTTTCTGGAGCAGATGAGACTGGTGAACAGGCTAGCTTCAGTAGGACATAGTGGTTTTTATGCAATATAGCAGGTGTGTGTCAATTACCAGAGTAGCTCAACAGAAATAAATTGGTAGATAAAATAAGTAAAGAGCTGATAGAATATAAACCTCCTCAGTCAGTCCTCTATGTACCCGATGTCAGCAGGCTGAAGGGAATGTCTATCATGGTTTGGACCTGTCCAAAGCTTAGGAACTTTTTTTTTTTGTCCTGAATATGATCAATGTTACTAAGAATCTGACCTTGCCCCTAAACCCCCAAGGTGTTGCTTTGAGCTGAATTTGATTGCTATGTTAAACTATTTGTATTTTATGCCTCCTTCTATGCCAGGAGGGAAATCTTCCCTAAGTGGAAATGCCTGATGCCCACGAATCTTGACTCTTGGCGTGCAATTAATAATACGGTGTTACCTCTGGATAAACTTACCTATGCCAGTCGTAATTGCCCTTGGAAATTTGATAAGATCTGGATGGCCTGGATAGATTCCCGGGAGGTGATTTAGACTCTGACTGAGTTCCAGATACCTACACAGCTATTCTCCCCTCTATAGTACCTTAAGTCCCCCATCCCCTTCCCCTTTTATTTAACCCCTTCTTCTCCATCCCCTCTCTGCAGTTCCCATCTTCGAACCATCCCTTGCCTCCCCTTCTTTCCTCATCGTCCTTCACTCTTCCTATATCCCTCCTCACCTGTCATATTTTAACTATGGCTCCTCCTGACCTGGAAGAAAGGTTGATATTTTTTCTACTGCCCCAAGCTTATGCTGTGGTTTTGGAAATACGTATGTATTTTTCTCTTGAATGACATTTGCCCATGTGCCTTTCTTTTGTAATACCCGTCAAGTGCACTGTATGGATAGTTTTGTTCATTGGTTGTTGTCCACTGTTAACCACATAATTCAATTGCATCTTCTGTGTTCAATAAACCTTTACTGTTTATAAAAAGATTTGATAGAGATCTATAGTCACAGCATACACTTTAATTCTACAACACCAGCACTGTAATAGCAATAGAAACAATAGATATATTTAACAATCCGATATAAGCTTACTTGAAGAATCTCCTTTCAGGTTGTGAATTTTGCCTGTCTGCTGGTCATCTCTTTCCACAGCTTGCTGGATTCCTTGCATGCTTTGCAGCTTCACCTCTGGCTATCCTTTTGATTTACTTTCAACATCTAAGGACTACATATCCCATGGTACATTACTGCCTGCAGTCAGGGGTTATGTAGTGTGTTTCCTGTACTGACTCAGCATCAAGAAACACTTCTCAGCTCCTCTGTAGTTCATAATAGACTTGGACAAAGTGATTCTTTTTAGTGATTCGAATCAATTGGATCAGTTCAGTGAAATTACTCGTATCATTGAATGGAATCACGACTCATTTCCTGCAAGCTAAGCTAGGATCATGAACTCCAGTCCTCTGATACACTCAGTACTCAATGCATCAACTGAGCAACTTGTTTAGATTCAGAGTTGTTTTACATGTACAATTGTAACAATTGTCTTGCTGCTTCCTCACACACATCTTATGATAGAAAACAGAATCTTTTGTGCTCTCTGAGACTCTGAATCATTCACAAACTCTTGCTGCTGCGTCATAGAGAGTTCATGAGAAAAAAAAAAGTGAATCTTGTGTGCTGCCCTGTGATGTACTCAGAGACTTAAGAGTCTTGTTGGCTCACACAGCTGATGACACAAAACAGAATTTTGATTCTTGTGAGCTCTCTTAGAACTCAAAACATAATCTTTTCTGATCTCTGAGACACTGAGTCATTCACAGACTCAGAGTCTTGCTGCCACACACAACTCATGATACAGCACAGAATCTTGATTCTTGTGAGCTCTCTGGGACTCTGAGTCATTCACAGACTCGGAGTCTTGCTGCCCCACACAACTCATGATACAGCACAGAATCCTTTGTGCTTTCTGAGACACTGAATCATTCACAGACTCGGAGTCTTGCTGCCCCACACACAACTCATGATACAGCACAGAATCTTTTGTGCTCTCTGAGACACTGAGTCATTCACAGACTCGGAGTCTTGCTGCCCCACACAACTCATGATACAGCACAGAATCCTTTGTGCTCTCTGAGACTCTCCGAGTCTTGAGATACACTCCTTTGAGAGTCATTCACAGACTCGGAGTCTTGCTGCCCCACACAACTCATGATACAGCACAGAATCCTTTGTGCTCTCTGAGACACTGAGTCATTCACAGACTTGGAGTCTTGCTGCCCCACACAACTCATGATACAGCACAGAATCCTTTGTGCTCTCTGAGACACTGAGTCATTTACAGACTCCGAGTCTTGCTGCCCCACACAACTCATGATACAGCACAGAATCCTTTGTGCTCTCTGAGACACTGAGTCATTCACAGACTCGGAGTCTTGCTGCCCCACACAACTCATGATACAGCACAGAATCCTTTGTGCTCTCTGAGACACTGAGTCATTCACAGACTCGGAGTCTTGCTGCCCCACACAACTCATGATACAGCACAGAATCCTTTGTGCTCTCTGAGACACTGAGTCATTTACAGACTCCGAGTCTTGCTGCTGCTGCTGCTTCACATACAGCTGATAATACAAAAAAGAATCTTGTGTGCTGTGTGATTTATTCAAAGACTCGGAGTCTTGCTTGCTCACACAGCTAATCATGTTATAGCTCATTTTACAAATCATGAACAGAGGCTGCTGTTTTCAGCTCCCTTATTTATTCATTCTGAAAGGGGGAGGATCTTTGACAATGAATTGAATCAGATTAACTGTCATGATTCGATTCATTCAAACTCTAGTGAGTTGATTCACTGATTTGAATCAGTGACTCAGCAGCCAAGCCTAGTTCAGAAGGCAGGCTCTATGAAATGTGTGACACAGGAGTGTGTTCTCACAGGGCATAGTGAATTGTTGTCACAGAATTCAATGTGTAATTGTGTGGGGATCTACACAAAGTCAGTATACAAACATTAGGATCATTCAGATTAATAGGAGTAGGCTAGAGATAAATGAAATTCAATGTGTAAATAAATATATGATTTGACATTTTGATCATAGATACATTTTAAAATATATACCTCAACAGCAGTTTGTCTGAATTTGTTTCAAGACACTTAAAAGATGTATGGACATTTATATTCACCTAGGTGGATGCAGCATTGATCTCAGCATCTGTCCCCATCAGCTCTGCAGTGAGAACTGAGCAGTTAAACACCACTGATCTCTCAGTTCTCCCCTTTACTGTGAACAGAGAGCCATGACTGTCAGTCTCCGACTCTCTGCTTTGACCCTCCAGCACACACTGGAGCGCTGGGATGTGGAGGAGGCAGGAGGGGCTGGCTCGGCCTCTCAGCATATCACTGAGAGGCTGAGGCAGGTGTCAGTCCAGGCTGCTGGGTGGATCCGTATGGTTGGGATCTTTTCAGAGCCTGGACTGGCTCAGTGATGTCAACTGACAGAGGACTTTAACCAGCTGTCAATGGGTCACAGGAGTGTAGAATAAACTTCACTATGAAGTATAGCCAGAATAGCTTTGGCTATACTTCTTCTTTAATGTTATTTAGTCTATTGGTACTGGAAATGATGCCAATGTGTTGGTAATACAGGAGTTTTGCAGCAGGGCCATCAGGTAATGGTAGTGGTGAGATGTGAAAAGGGTTAAATGAGAGGCTGTAATTGTAGCACACTGGAACCTGTCTAGAATACCCCCTTCCATCCATAAAAATGCATGGTTGTGCTGTCATAAATGTTTCATTGATACAGACCCAATATGTGTAGACAGCATGATCACTTGCTTGATTTAACACAATCCACAGACAACTTAACTCTTCAGTAAGACACATTGAATTTAACACAAGTTTACTTCATAGCTATCCTAAGCCGTGCCTCTGCTTGAAAATTAAAACTGCTCAGTTAATGTACAGATGTGCATGATAAGGGAGGTGACAGATTTATATACAGGTCACAGAGAGACTAGATGCAGATCAGGTGTACAGGAGAGGAGGGGGGGGGTTGAGAGGGTTAAAAAAATGATCCAATAAGTAGCCATACTCCTCGCCTGCACCTATTGAATCTATTGATCTGGAAATAATTAAAACATTATTTATTCATTAGTTCCTTCTTCCTTCATTATAAGAGGAAGGGGAGGGCTCTAAGCGGTAAACTTTACTCTGTTTACATCTGGGATTGCGGTGATTGGTCATCATAGTGATCACATGGTATAGAGCTACTCAAATCACTGTGTCTGTGAACTGAGTTGTTTCATAATGGTTCAGTTCACAGCCATTAATGGTCAAATTGGCCACAATGATTTCTGCAGTGCCTTGTATAAGTGGCACTGCAGAAATAAGTATATATTACTGCACTATTCAAAAATGTACGGTGGGTACATAAGTGACTAGTAGAGTAGGAGAAGGTATGAACCCCTGTCCAGGGGCGGACTGACAACTCATGGGGCCCCCGGGCAATAGGGGATCATGGGGCCCCTGTGTCCTTGCCCAAACTCAAAAAAGCATATGAGAAAGGTACCAGGGGCATCTCATGGGGCCCCCTACTGACCCCGGGCCCTCGGGCAGTGCCCAAGTTTCGAAATGGTCAGTCCGCCCCTGTCAGATTTGTATTTCTGTCTGTATTCATCCTTCCATGTCAGGTAAAACTGTTAGCATGACTGAGAGTGAGGGTAAATCTCTGTAGCTGAAAACCCAAATCCAAGCCTTAAAATTAATCTGTGGCGTACGCCAGTGTTCATCTGCCCTACACTCCCACTCCATTTGGCTGCAACTTGTAGCTTACCCAGGACTGTGAACCCTCTCTTCATGTGACAGAGCCAGGTGCCTAAATGCCAAATCACCAAGCACCAGCACTGTCACATAGGAAGAAGAGGAACGAGCCGAGTGCTCTTGTATAAACATTTAATGTGTCATTTCTCTTCTCTACCAGTGCCCAAATGGAGTGGCATGGGAGTAAAAGAAAAATTTGGAATGTTCTCAGTTAGGTAAGCTTGACCTCCAGCCCTAAATATAAAAGTTATCACAAAAATCAATCATGCTGATAATACAGCTGAAACATGAAACATAAGGGGCACACAGAAAGGGATGCAACTTGAAGTTGTGCATAGCAGCAGTGGCTGTGTTGGTAAGATGCATTCCATAGGATAGCTGTGATCTGCTCACTGGGAAAAGGGTGGGCACAAGGGGCGGCTGCCCTGCATGTTGTGGTATCATGTGAGGTGGAAGGGTGCTGGCAGGGGTGATTTTTTTTTAGGGGGGCATTTGTGCTGGGGGATTTAGGGAATGGGGGGGCAATTGTACTGGGGGTATTTCAGCAGGTGGATGGATTTGTAATGGGGGGGATTTATACTTAGAGGGCAAGTATGCAGACTAATGCTCATTTTTTGGGGGGAGGGGATTTTTGCTTGCACATAATGCTCATACATCTGGGGGGGGGTACAGTTTGGTATAATTGCCCAGGGCTCTAGATGACCTTGTCCCAGCACTGACCTCTGGTATCTCCAGAACATCACCAAGCAGTCCCACACACACATCCATGTGGTTGCAAAGCTGCTATCCTGAACTCACTGATATGGTGGTCCTTGATGTGCTCAGTCATCTTTGGCAAGGCAGTGAACTAGAGTCCACAGCTCCCAAAATGGCAGGCATTGGTGAACGTCGTTACCATTTGAACAGAAGCTACTGTATACTTCAGCTTGTTGTGTATCTGTTCAAGTGTCAGTAAAGTTTTTCTTTAGCTGAGGAGGAAAAAATAACAGAACTGAGGTGTGGCTTTCATTGTTCATTAACTGCCAGTGGGGACAAGGACAGGGGCATTTGTTTGGCAGGGACAGGCCCTCAAACAGGGGATGAATGGCAACCTTAGTGGAGAGCAGCAGCACGGGGGGTTCACAGTACTCACAGTCTTTAGTGCATTTGTCTTCACTGTTCTTCCTTCAGTCATGTACTGTGTATACTTGGCCCATAAAACAAGGCACAATCAGTGTACAGCACAACCATTTACCTGCTGCCTTGGTTTTAATGGGCCATCTAACATGTCAATTCACAGATTTCAATACAACATTTGAGACCAATCACATGACTCACTGGCAGAAATATATATGCATTGTGCAACTAGCCACTTCTGCACGCTTCCCATAAACTCCCATTGTAGTAACCACCACTGCAACATAATGCCACATCACTTAGTGAGGATAATGGATTGTGTACTGTCAGGGGTGTATTTAGGTTTTGTGCTGCCCTAGGCAACACACAAAAATTGTCTGCCACCATGGACACTGACCAAGACCACCCCCCCCTTCCCTCTCCCACGGAGAGTCGGACATTGACCAACAACGTCAACACCCTGCCCACCACCCGAGAGACCCTTCCACTACCACTCCACTGGCAACAGAGAAAGACTTACCTTCACAGCTCTGGACATCCCCAGGAACGAGTGTCAGGCTCTGCATACACCATCAAGCAGCCCACAGCCTATCTCTGATCCCACCTGGTTCCCACGGCGTGCATGTCCCTTCTTCCACTCCTTCCGAGGGGAGGTGCTGCCCCCCTGAAAAATGCCGCCCTAGGCAAATGCCTTGTTTGCCTTGTGGTAAATATGCCCCTGTGTACTGTACATCTCTGATTGTCTTCCAGGTCACAAGCAGCCAGCCTTTTACTGAAAAAAGGACCAGTAGTATTTTTAAGGGGAACTGTACTGGTCTGGGGTAATTTTTATCTTAATTTGGTCAAGTTTATTATTATTTCATCTGTTTTTACTGTTTAGCTTTACAAATAAATATCTAATATAGGGTGTGTCATTGACAAAGAAGTTCCAGTGTTCTATACATTTTCAAAAGTGAAGGCAAAGAATACACAGTTTTTGTTTTCAGCCTCATTGTCTCTGACTGAGGGCTGCTATGGAGCTGTCTGATTTATTCACATGTAAATGTCAGCTTTAGCTATTAAGAGATTCTTTACATGGAACTTCTCTTTCTCAATCAACACTGACTATTTTTAATCCTTATGTTGCTAGCATTTGTGAATAGATAGGATGGTATATTATATTTACAGTACTTGTTCTAAACCATTTTTTTTTATTCTTTATGTAATGTTATGCAACCGAAACAATAAAATGGCAACTTCATGTAATACAGTACGTAGACAGTATGGGGTAACAGTAGCAGAATCTAAGAAAAAGTGTAATGCTCTATTAACAAAATCGCCTATGATAGCGGAACAAGAATACTGTGTCAAATGGACAGTAAGCCACAAATCAACAGTAGCAGTGTTCAGGAACTTTGTGTGGCTAGACACACTGTCATCAGAGCGTCTTTAGTGAAGGATCCCTCTAACAGTCGCTTAGAGCCATGTGAGGTGAAGTCTAATGTGGGGTAGCCTATCATCATCTTAGCATACCAGGTTTTTGTTGTATATTGTGAAGATAAAAAGGATTGAGAAAGAGAAAAAGGAAAAAGTAGAGTGGAAGGATGATGGAGAATTGAAAAAAAAAGGAAGGGGGGGAGTTGAGGGGGAGAGTCAAGAGTATGCTAAAAGAGGGGAGGGGGGTGGGGGAATCCCACTCAGGGAGCAGAGAGTGCAAGGGCAGAGCAGGCAGCTGAATTCATAGTCACACAAGTGAAGCTTAGTATATTGGAGAAATTAATCAGAGAAGCGAAAGAGGTCCCAAGAGAACCACCTGGATTTCAGATCCTCCGATTTATCTCGGAGCTCAGTAGTCAGGTTCTCCATCTGTTCAATATCATCTACTCTTGCAAGCCATTGAGCTACAGTGGGTGCAGACTGTTGACTCCATTGGCACGGTATACAGGCCCTGGCAACATTAAAGAGATGTTTGAGGGATTTGTGGTAACATTTTCCTGACATTAGGGCAAGGTTTAGAAGGACAGCAGCCGGGTTGTCCCATAAGGAGATGTCTATAAATTTGTGAATAAGTTGGAGTACAGGTTGCCAAAAGGTTTGAAGCTTGGGGCATTCCCAAAAGATATGTAATATGGTACCTGGTTTTTCTCACAGCACCAGCATCAGTCAGTTTGGTTAGGAAAGAACTTTGTGAAAATTGATGGGGTCCTGTAGCAGCGGGTGATTACTTTACTAAATAGGTGGTTTCTTGGTACTTGCTGCAGAGGTAAGATTTCTAAGCAGAGGTAAGATTTCTAAGCAAAGAAGAAGATTCGGTCCTTTTGAGGCTTATTGAAGGTGACACGCATGTCCCTCTCTCATTTCGATAGAAATATAGTCCGCAGTAACATGAAGGTCAACAAGCAATAAATTATGAATTAGTAAGTGACCCACGAATTTGACCCTCTCTCAGGCAAAGTTCCTCAAAGGAATGAAGCTGTCAATGAAAATGAGCAGGTTTAGGTAGGCAACCTAAGAAATGAGAGAGCTGAAAAGTTCTCCAATGATCGATCATTGGTTTCCGGTTAGTTAGCATAGTCTTGGTGGGAATCCATCCGGTGGGTTGTAGAAAATGAGAGACCTATAGCAGTCCCTGTACAGAGTGCGACTGGAAAATTGGGTCCATCAGGTCCACTGTGATTCATGAGCAATCCATGATAGGGGACATGGGCGAAGGAAAGTTAGAGAGTAAAGACAGAAAAACCTATCCACTTCTGTGAGAGTGGGTCTGAGCAACGGATGAGAAGTCATATTTTCCTGCCCAGGGTAATCCCACTAGTGGAGCATCAGTTGCTTCCTGCTGTAGAGGCACCAAGAGTTTCAAGTCACCATGGTGGCAGCTGACCACCATCACCAGTCATATATGTCAATGTATAATACAATGTGGGATCAGGGAAGCTTATGCCACCTTGAAGCTTTGGACGCAGCAGCAATGCCCTGCCAATGCGTGAGTGCTTGCCTCTCCAGACAGACTCAGTAAATCTAGAGCGTACAGTGTGAAAAAAGATATAAAAGTCTGGGCATGATGTTCATCTTGAGGACATTACAGTGGCCAAACCAAGAGAGGGCGAGGGGAGAGGTTGGAAGTCCATTTAAATTGGAAACAAAGGGAAAGGTTTGTTAGGGTAGAGTCAAGTAGGGAATCGTTCAGAGCTTCTGATTTTTGAAGGTTGACCTTAAACTTTGAATAAGGACCCTTATCTTTCAGTTCCTGCAATAATGATGGAAGGGAAATAAGAGGGTCAGCTATGTAGAATAACAGGTCATCAATGTACACTACTATTTTGTTTTGGTATTTCCCTGTCTGCAATGCCTCTGATGTTGGGGTTGTCTCTGACATGTTGAAGAAAAGGTTCTTTGGAGAGAGCAAATAAAAAGGGCGAAAGGGGGCATCCCTGTCTCGTACCATTAGCGATGGGGAAGGGGTCAAATCCATTTACCTGACCTGTAGCCTTAAGATTGTTGTATAGGCCTGCTATCGCGGTCTGGACAGATTGCACCATCCCTACCGGCTGGAGAGTTTCCCTGAGGAAAGTCCATTCGACCCTGTCAAAAGCCTTTTTGGCATCAGTGGACAGAAGTAGAAGGGGGTGCAGGATCTTTTCGCAGTCTCTATGATGTTCAGAGTCCGGATTGTATTGTGTTCTTAACCATTTTTTATCAGTTTCTTCTGTTACTTTCTGGTTTCTATTCCTAGG